CTGGCCCAATTATTATTTTATTATTGATTTTATTGAGTGTGGTCTGCCCAGGCAGAACACATTTGGGGGAACCAGCTTTGCCTCTTCTAACTGTGTGGATAAACAAGAGTTAAGTATAATAACATAGAATGACACTCAGGAAGAAGCCTCCATGGTCTATCACCCCAGCAACTGGGAACCGAGAGTGGTAAGAACTTCTATGCTCCATTAGAAGAAAAAAAAGAGTGGTAAAAAGGCTGTAGGGAGTCCAGAGGAAAGTCGCACAGGAGCCAGTGCAATGGGTGACTGTTCAACCACCAAGCCAGGGATCCGAGAAGTTCCACTTTTCAAGGAGTGTTCAATGAAGGGAAGGCATATGAGTCCAACTCATGGGAATGAGAGCTCCGAAGGAAATCCTCATCCCCAAAGAAATAGAACATATTGGGCCATAAGAAAGGTAAGGGACATGTGAACTATCAAAACATACCCAGTAAACAGAGGACTGACAAACATCAAATGGGCAAAGTATCAAAATTTATCTAGCCCACAAAGAATATTAAAATAACAAATGTGCCAACTGACAGAAATTACCAATGAAACACAATAATTAGCAATATCTAAGGACAAAGAAAGGAACCTAGATGACAAGGAAACAAAATTAAGTCCTACACTGAATAAAACTAAAAGAGGAAGGTAGATACTTAACAGTGACAAAAAAATTATTCAAATAGAACAATGAATTACATGACACTAGTAGTAACGATAAGAAAGGTCAAAACTACTGAAGCATACAAAGTTAATAAAGTACTTATAAATAGGAAATGGACAAACCATGTACCTAGTCCACAAAACATGTAATAATAACAAATGAGCAAACTGATAAAATTACCTAGAAAACACTTCGTAAAAAATAACCTAGATGAAGATGAGATATCACTCACGTACTGAATCAAACACAGTGGCCCCACTCACCTCTTTCCATTTTTGGAAACAGTCCCTTATATACACTTATTTCAATATGTGACATGTCATTAACCAATTGAAAGCTCAAAATGTCCCCCTAGTGGCTTTCTCAGCCATTTATGTATCTTAGGATGCCATCTCTTTCTTTCGAACCAAGATTTCAAGTAGGTAGGTTGTGTCTTTAATCTACTCAAAATTTCATTGCTTTTTAGACCTGAATTCAGCTAAGTTAGTTAGCTTGATAAATTATAGTGGAATTCTTTGGTATAGTAATTTATGATTTTTTGGTTATTCAACTGTATATATATAAAACCTAAGAAAAAATTATTTAATTTATATACTCTACGTGCAAATTTTAAAAGACTTAGCAACCTACGTCAAGCAGCAACCGAGTACAAAGGTCATAACTAGAAGAGATAATTGTTTGCTTTACTTCTTTATTTACTGTTCTATGTTTTAAAAAATAAGTTTAAGAACTTATTTTCTAAATAGTAATAATCTATATATACAATATATATATATTG